ACAGACGCAGCGTAACGCTGCTGAATCCAAAGTACCCCACCGGCATACTGCCGGGGGATACAATAAGAACAATCAAAATCAATCTAAAAAATAAAAATAATTTAAAAACAAATTATAATAAAAAACTTCCAAGGTTTTAGATGTACAATGTGCATATTATGTACAGTACCAGTACTTGAAAAATGGCAAGATACCAGCAATACTGAGCCTGGTAAACTTGTCAAGTTGAATATCAAACAAATGTAAGATTTATAGGAATAATTTATGTTGACATATACATGTAATCCCAGCAGTTCAATTCTAACAGCATCAACATCATCGTGTCTGTCATGTTTGACAGTTCACAGCTAGTATCATCAGTCAGCTGTGTCGGAGTGTGTACTTGCAATTTCTACTAACATGTTAGATTGCTGAATTTGCTGTGCCAAGGGTCGTAGAGTAGTTCCCTGTATATTTATGATCAGGGTTTACTTTCAGATACACATACATGTACCTGTACATTGAACACTGTATATAAAGTTAAAAGAATTAATTATGTTTTATCATACCTTAATTGCAATTATAATTAATAAATGACACATTTTTGAAAAGCTAAGATTCTCCTCTTTCTTTTGATGCAACTCATATTGTGCATATTTCACGCACAGGTGATTAAAATCAATTTGAAGAGAGGAAACCAAAAAGTCATTTGGCGGGCGGTATCTGAATTTGAAAGAGAAAATCACATTTCGAGTTCAATTTCTGCCCTTTCAAATGGCACCTCGATCAGGAATAATGAGCCAGGACTAACAAAGTGCTGTTTGTTTAAAGTAATGCTTGCATTTCCATAATTTGATTGAACAAGTTCATTTTCACTGGCTGCCTGCCGTAGCAACAGAGTTGAGAAAAGATTTACTTCCGTTTTGTTGACGATCAGCCATGCACAAAGAAGACGAAAGACTTGATGCATGACTGATCATCAACGAAACGGAGTTAAGTCTTTTGTCAACTCTGCTTGTTGCTACGGCATAAACGAGGTATCCTTGTAAACGCGGAAAAATCTCGTCCTAAGAAATGAGGATCGTTCGCATTTTTCTTTGGTGCCCTGCGGGTTTCGGGTTCCCGATCTCGGATCAGCGCGCTGGCAATGCCCAAAACGGATCCTGCGTAATAAAATACCCCCAGTTCACCAACCCTTTTCAACATGGGTCGCCCATCTTCCTGAGGATTTATTACTTAGTTATATTCATAACGTGAAAGTCTCTTTACAAAGTCAATGTAAAATGCATCAAGAAAATCATTGCGAAATCCGTTTTCGCATTGCAACGCGCGGATCAGAAATAAGAATTGTCGGCCAAAATGCGGGCAACCCTTATTTTTGCGGAACACGCCTGTCCATGTTTACGAAGACGATCCTCGTTTATCCGGACGATCCTCATTCTCAGACCAGCGCCCCTACTGACCATTGCATTGGGCACGATCTTTATCCATTACGCACCTAACAAGTTATTTATGAAGGAGGCAATGCCAAAGAGATGATAAACTGACAAAGTCATAGTCTAGACCTCACATATATATCTACCATGCATAGATCTAGACCTACAACTTTACTACAACACAGCACAGTCGACTCAACACTGCAGCTGCAGCTGCCTGAATACAAAATTACAGGCACACAAAAAGAGCTCAACTCAGCTCATTTCACAGGTCATCAATTTAATAGTAATTCTTCTTTTGACTTTGCTGCTCATTTAAACATATCGAGTATCATGAAAATACTACCGCACATTAATGTACGACATCATTTATTTCTGGAAATCACGCAAACACAGCTTTGAATCGAATGTCATGCTACGACTCGTGATAATTTCCCCTGGCGCTTCCCCATTGACATTACACACTAAAAAGGGCTGGGCAACAAAAGGGAGTTTGGCCGACTGAATACTTACCTATTGTAGATATAAAAGTTGTACTGAATGTGTCATCTGAAAATCTGAATAAAAGGCATGTCTTTCCCACACCAGAGTCTCCTATTAATAGTAACTTGAAGAGCAAATCATACGTTTTCTTTGCCATTTCTATGTAGAATTAAGCTTACGATTCGTATGGCACATACGTTAGTTGCTATTCTTCCTATCTCTTTCGACATCCACCATAAAACCAATAGCCTCGTTCGCCGGATAAAAAGTCATATATAAAATTTAGGTTGTAATATTTGTCATTGATTTAAAGTTGTGAAACAAAATAATAATTTTACAATGAAACATGATTTCATTTTGTAATACACATGAGTATTTTTGCATTTTAAAAATTTGTTTACAGATTGAATCGGTTAATTTTTTGACAAATTGGCAATCTATCAATTATGAGTCATTCTGACAAAATCGCAGTGACATGACGTTCTATACAGCCGTATTTTTCTCTCAGATCACAAGACTAGCCAAGACTACTTGCGACGACGATAAATGGAATTGCGTAATCATTTGATGATTTGGCGTCGGGAACCGTGGCGACTACTGAAGTTTATCAAATATTTCATAGTTTTTTATTTTTCTGGCATTCATGTCATTCTTTCACAATCATAAAGCCTAACCATCGAGGAGATAAAGACCTCGATCGGCCTGCTGTGCTGATGCAATATGATGCAATGATGATAATGGTGATGCGATCATAATGGAGATAATATTGATGATGACGATGATATATGATATTGATGTTGATGATGATGGTGATAATTATAATGATACTGATGATAATGATGATGATGATAATAGCCAATAATATAGATGATAATGATGAAGTTGACTTATAATGTGCGGGTGTTAATAATAGCACGGTAGTAAAAATATTCATGATAAGTGATAATAATAATAATAATAATAATTTGGTGGCCAAGGAGTTCAATTGCCTCGTCAGCTTCAATGTTGTTCTTCCTGAGGACAAGTGGCGGATCTCGGGGGAGGGGGGGGGGTTAACCCCACCCCCGCCCCCCCCCCCACCTTGGGCGGCCAATTGTGAAAAGAAAAGGGGGGGGGAGGGAAAAAAAGTAAGTAGTAAAACGGCGCGATTTTTGGAAAATCCTGGATCCGCCACTGGGTCAAACCTCTCCCTTGGCAAAAAGCTAGATCCGCCCCTGTGAGGGCCCTGCAATTATTATTACCCCCAGCGAATGCAAGATTTCCATTTACAACTGGGTGATGAGAGGCAAATGTGGATTAATGTCTTGCCAAAGCGGATGTTAATGTTAATGTTAATGGGCACAGTGCCCCCACTTTATCAAGTACCCAAAAAGTGCCCCTTTTTACATAGGTAAAGTGCCCCTTTTTTGCATAGGAAAAGTGCCCCTTTTACTTTGACAAGTGCCCCAATAAATTTTTAAAAGTGCCCCTTTTCCTTATGATAAGTGCCCTCAGTTAAAAAAGAACCCATTTCCCTTCTCATAAATGCCCTTTATCATCTATGAAAATAGTTCCTTTTCATTTTCATCAGTGCCCTTTTTCATCTCTTGTAAATGACCCTATCCAATTCTGAGAGATACTCGTTTTACTTTGACAAGACAGTGTCCCTTTCCCTCTTATAAATCTCTTTTCTTTTGACACGTTCCCCTTTTCCTTGACTTATCTTTTTCCGTCTTAAAAGTGCCCCTCTCCTGATTACCCCCTTTTGATCTTTGATAAGTGCCCCGTTTATTTTAACATGTGTCTCTTTTTCTTTTTAATAAGAGCCACTTCCCCCTTTTCATAAAAGCACCCTTTCAACTCCGATAAATGCCCCTATTAAAATCTGATCGGTGCCCCCTTTTCTTTCAACAAATGCACATTTCCCCTTATCATTAGTGCCCCTTTTTCCTTACTCAAAAGTGCCTCATTTCATGAATGGTAAGTGCCCCTTTTCAGATGCGATAAGTGCCCATGTTCACCCCTGATAAATGATTACCCTTTCAACATTATGTGCCCCTTTTCCTTTATCATAAGGAACATCCCTTTTTCATAAATGCCCCTTTTCACTTCTTATAAATGCCCCTATCAAAATCTGATAGGTGCCTCTTTTCCGTCGACAAATGCATATTTCCCATTCTCATAAAATTCCTTTTGTGCCTCTTTTTTAGGTAAAAGAAGTGCCCCATTTTCACCTCTGATAATTAGCATTTGTACTTTAACACGTGCTCCTTTTCTTTTCTAAGTGTCCCCTTTTCCTCTCATTAATGTGCCCCTAATTTCAAGCGACTCGGAGAGCAATTTCCCCCAAAGGTCGCTCGCTATATGCTCGCTCGTAGTTATAAATGATTTAATTATATAACTTATCAAAGGTCTTTTCAATCTTCCGTTATGAGAATGTGCTTATAAGTTATAACCCCATTAGGATTGGGTTCTTCTTTTATAGGATGTTATTTTTCGTAAAGCGACCTCACAAATCTTAAAAGGCTCGCTTTGCTCACTCGCGAATGAATTTTCGGACCATCACATCAACTGCAAAGTATGATGCTTAAGCAATATTTTATATGGTGTATAAAGAGAAACAAATATTGAAATCATCCCTGATAATGTAATTACAATATAGGGGATATGTATATAATTATGTCTAAAAAATTGTATATTTTCGTTTTGAAATTTCCCTTTGAAGGTGCCCTTTTTTCTTTGTTGGTGCCCCCACCCCCCAACCCCCCCCCCGCCCCACTTTGGAAGTCGCTCCGCCGCCTCTGGTAGTGTTACTGCTGATGGTGATGGTGATCATGATCATGATGATAGTGATGATGCAGGACTGGTGATGATCATGATGATGATATGAGCAGGGCGGGGGGTGAGATTATTAAATGATAAACTCTTTATCTTCGCTGCTGTTTCTCCTACTGGTTCTGGGTTCCGATGGCGAAGCAAGTACGCCCCAAGCCCAAGGGTAGGAAAAAATAAAGTTTTATCAGCAATTCTTGAGAGAGTCGAGTCCTAAATAAGATTACACTCAATGTTGAACGAGCGTTCTAAAAGTGCATTAGCGCCATCTTGTGAACATTACAGGAAATAAACAAAATGGTTAGCCTTGTAGCTACACTAACCCCTCAAATCGCGCGCGCTATTATTGCATAGGCCTACAGTTTATAGTTCGCGCCACGAACTTGTTTTGAAACCGCTGACATATACGGGAACCAACGTTCCCGCTCCCGCAGGCAGCAGCCTAACCCATGGCCCAGCCCCAAGCCACCCGGCGACAGTATATGATCAGCTACCCTAGCCGCTAGCCGCGCCAAGCTTGGCGCTGTCACTTTTGAAGTTGTTTGGAGTGATAGGGCCTAGTTTTGTGATTCATCAATTTTTTGATTGACTGTCTTATTGGAAAGGGGCAGCAGTACCTGTGTAGTGAAGCTGGTGAGAACAAAACCTTATTTAGACCTAGCTAGGTCTAATTGTTAAAATAGGCCCCTATTGCCTGTGAAAGTAGTTTGTACAAAATGTATTTCACGGAAGTTCAGCAGTTCAGCAGTGCAGTGCCGATGAATATTATGAGATGAGTGTGTGAGGTAGGCCTAATGTGAATTGATATTGTAAAGGCGTGTTCACTGATCCACACAACAAAACTCTTATTTTTATTTTAGCTACGAGGAAGCAAGGTTGCACTGACAATAAAATACATTTTCCCTTTTCGTTAATTTATTGATGTTGCAGACCAAACACTTGTGAAGTTTTGTCGTGCAAGCAAATGAATGTCGTGATTCGGAATGATGAGAATCACATGAAAGAGAATATTGCACGGAGTTACATAGAATGGTCATGAATGAGAATGAACATGAATGAACATGAATGAACATGAATAAAAGCTTACGACTGAATAGAAATGACTTCAAAAGTCCAATGAAGATGAAGATATGTGAAGAACTAATGAAGGGGCTTAGCGCCGTGATGGTGCGGAGGCTTGATGGCGGAGATGTAGCTTCGTTGTGGCTGAAGAGCCGTGAAGAAATTTTGATGCTGACGCTCGTGATAAATATGATGAAGAAACTCTAAGGCGAAAAGAGAAGAGATGTGGCGCTTGATGACGAAGCAGTGAATCGCTTGATGTCGGAGGCCAAGAGTAGAAATGTAGACATCAAACTCAAAGCCGGTGGTGAAGATGAGCAGTGAGGTCGCTCGATGAATGAGCCGGACTTTAATGGAGAAAATCATCAGAGTTGCAGTGAGTCGAACTCGGTGATGAAATGATAGATAGAGCTACCGGAACAAAGAAATTGGCAGCTCCTAGCGGAGAATGAGGCGCCATGTCGGGTCCTGATTATAACGTTCCAACTGGGAGACTGCAGCCCGATGAAGACGGCATAGAAAGAGTTAACGTGCCGTAAAACTAGAGACGAAAGGCAGTGGGGGGGGGGGGGGGGGGGGTACTCACATATATTAAGACATACAGGGTATGCCGCTCTAATGGGTAACTTTTTCACAACAAGTCCCTAAACATGGGTCCCATTATTAACAAAAAATACCTCTAGATATGGGTCCACTTTTTCAAAATTTTGAATATTTTTAGGGTTTTAGCCATGCAAACACCCAAAATTTTTGAAAAATGGGCTTTACTTCGAAAAAAATCAGCCAAAATGACCCTTAAAAATGGGTAGGGGTTACGAGGCTTCAGCGGCACACCTCCGTCAAAACCAAATCTGAGTACCATGCAAGCAAAAATAGTTCAGGTTGAGAATCAAGCGCCACTCGATGATATGACCAGAAGTTTTAACAGGATCACCTTTCACTTCCCTACACTGATGCTGATGCTGATATGATTTGGAGTACCGGGTATCTTTCTTTTGTTCTTCGTAGCTGCCGTCTCAAAAATTGGCCACACTTACAGTACATGTAAATGTACAGACGTACATTGCACCAAGAATTTCTAAGATCTTTAACATTTGAGTTCTAGATCTACTCACTTGGTCTTACACTACACTACAGTACATGTAGCATGTTGCAAGATCTCATTAACCTGTTGACCCCTGGTGCATGTCCAGTCCTTTCTTAAAATGTTGAATTGAATCACACTCAATTCAACATGAAATGAAATTGACAGTGTTATTCTCGAGTTTCTACATGAATAATTTTGTATTTTGTGAACATTCTCCATCTTTTGCTTTCTTTCAGGTACCAATCAAAAGTTCTTCAGAAAACAATGATCGGGATGGCCAAGTCGACTCAGAAAAATACTAGAGTCTCTTCGAGCAAAACAAAGGATCTGTCACCCTCCAAAGTGTTGGCCATTGTTGCTAACTGGAATAACACAGAATCGCCTGCAAAATCCCCTGCAAAAGGGTAGGTTGTTTACTATCAAGTTGGTTACAAAATTTGTGAAAGAGGTTGAAACATCCACCAATCCCCAACTTGATAATTTAAACACACTTTCCCTCTGTTTGGGCAAAACTTCCCAACTGAAATTCAATGCTATACATTCTCTTTCAGATATTCAATGATTTACAAACTCAAATGATTTTATGAGGAAGAATAAACATTCTTTTTTTATCATACAGAAGGCTTGCGATTGCATCATGTGAGAGAGGGGGAGGATTGGGGGGAGGGGGGGGGGGGGTCCTGAAAAGGACTCTTTATAATCTTTCTTAGTATCTTTCTTGAGTGTGTGTTCTTTTTTTATTGTACTGAAATTCACTACAGTTATTCAATTTTACAATGTTTTCACTTTAGAGATAGGCAGAATAATCATATCAAGTTTATGACATTTGTGACAAGGTCTGTAATAAAAACAAAATTGCTTGCTACTGTCTTTAGGTCTAGACGGAAGCGCCCGCGGGACGAGCAGCTGTCCGCATCCATTCCTCGCAGCCGGCGGCAACGGAAACATTTCCGGAGAGACTACCTGTCCCAATCTTCCGAGGAGGATGAACTACCGACCTTCAAGGCAAAGTCCTTCTACCACGGCCAGCAGCCCACCAAGTACCTATCGCCTTTTGAACGCAAGGAAGAAAGAGATCGGCTCATCGATGCAGGAGTTGACCCAGCAGTCCTCAACAAGTCCTTCGAGGAGCTGCAGCGAGAGCGCATCGGGAATCCCTCACTTTCTGAGAAAGAGCGACCTGCCGCAAAGAACAGCTCGCTCTTACAGAAAAAAAACATTGTAGCGAATTCCAAAACTATTTCTTCCACATCCAACACACCCTCGACAGCTGAGAAAACACAGGCATTGAAGCCATCGGGACCTAAGAGACAGGACTCAAGTAAGCCAGCAGCTACAGCTGAATCCAAAGTGCAATTATCATCTGGACAAATGTCAGGGGTTAAAGGTGAAATTAAGGTCACGTTGAGCGAAAGGTCACCTGGAGGAAATGTACATGTAGAAGGCAAGAAAATGTTGGCAGCGAATAAAGCTCCCCCAAAAGAGGCACAAGTAGATAGGCGATCTTCGCCAAGGAAATTAGTCCAGGTTCACCCTTCGCCAAAGGTCACTAAGAATTTAGGAGTGACGAGGAGAACATCACCAAGGAAACTGGCTTCCAAAGGCAATGCAGCTAAGGGGATCCAAATGTACATGAGGAATCTAAAACAAGGACAGAAGAAAGGAAAGAAGGCATCGAATGTGAAAAAGGTAAGTGTTTAAAAGAGCAATAGATGATATTTATAACTTGATTTTAATACATTTATTCATTCATTTATCCAACATACATTGAATGTGGAACTACATGTATACAGAGAACAGAAAGTTTGTACACATTGTAATAATAGACCTACATGTACATGTAGATAGTAAAACAGCAATCTAAAGTTGAATAATTCCTCACCCCTTTTAGTCTTTAATACACGATCCATAGTAAAAAGGCAAGGTTTTCTGGGGATTTTTAAACTCATATTAGTCCAAGACTGCAGTTTATACAAATTTATAATGGTTTTGTGGCATTTGTTTCATATTTTTTTCATTAGGTAATTCTATATAAAACAATCTAAAAATTGAAATTTGGTGTACTTTGAAGTTAACACTGCACACTATAATTACTGTATTACATATGAGAACATGTAAGTATGAGTGTTTTCTTTAAAAAAGGCTGTAGCATATTTGTGTCTACAGCATCCTGCATCCTGACATCAGCTTATGCTCTGGACTGCTTTCCATCACTTTGATATTTCCACCGGGTCCTTAGAGCATGATTTTACAAAAGAAATATATTTTCTATATCTTCATTATTCTTATCAACAAAGACTAAGAACCAAACCAAGGTGGCGCCAACTCTAACCAAAGCAGAGATCCCAGCCAAGGCATCAGCTTCAAAATCTCAGCGAAATCAGACCCCCACCACCAACAAGGAAAAGGTTGATTCGTCGGCAAACAACGAGAAGGCTGCCCGCGGGTTGGACTTCGGGAAGGGTATGGTCAACGGGCACGATGTAGCTCCACTGGTCAAGAACCCTGATGGGCGCAACGAGAAGAGCCACACTGAGGATAACCTGATGGACTTCCTGGTCTTCGCGGATGACGATTTTAGAGATGAGAACAGGGACACGGAGGACTTTGTCCAGAATCTGCTCATGGAGATTGATGACGACATGGAAGAAACAGAGAATCTTCTGAAACGATCGCCACGGAAACGCAAGATGAAGACGGACAAGGAGTGTGTGGTTTCGTCACCCTCACCAGGGAAAACTCCAAAGAGACAAACTCCAAATAGACGGAGAATGAGGTAGGCATTAGTCTTCATTGTTTCTTCTTTACTTCCAAATGAATGTTTACATTTTATTGTTTTAAAGTGAGGAGTACCAATTTGTAATGAAATGAAAGCTTGTACTAATGAATAAACCTCAGCTTAGTAAATTTCAGGATGATTGGATAGATTAAAAATCATTTATTGGTTAGGATTATTTGTAATTACAGTCAAGCTTTTACAGTATTCCCATTCTCATTGGTCATGAGGTTGGGTATTTTTATTTTTTAATTTTGTTTGGGGGTAGATGCAAAATTATGCACTTGTCATTTGTAAGACGCACCTCTTGACCCCCGGGAATGGTGCGTCATTGTACCGATGTGAGTCGTACATTTTGATACTATGACGCACCTTCCGTCACAGAAAGTGACACACCATTACATTCCATCGACGCACATTTGAGTCAAACATATGACACACCATTTCATGACTTATTTACCCAATCTCTACTGAATGATGCAAAACCAAATTAGATAATATTATTAATGCAAATATTGTTGTTGTATATATATATATATATATATACATTGAATTATTCTTAATGCTAATATTGTGAATTGTCACTAGAAAGTGATCTAACTATTGATGACAATTCATTGTCTTTGTTAATTAAATGGTATTTTAACTAGTAGTATATTTGAAACAATTGTGAAAGAAATATGATATGTTTTTAATTGTAAATTGTCATGCAATTCAGCCCAGGCTGCAAAATGATGATATTAATAAACTGAACTGAACTGAACTGAACGAAAATGACTAGCCAATGACGCACATTTGAGAAACACTTCTGCTTGGAGAAAGTGACGGTCCCATTGACACACCAAATGACGCAACGTGGTAAAGTGACTTACTATGACGCACATATGGGTCAGTATTGTGACGGACATTTTGCGGCCATGACGGTACTGTGCGTCGCGATTTTGGGGAACATGACGCAACCATGACGCACCATCCCCGGGGGTCAAAAGGTGCGTCTTACAAATGACACCTGCATTAGTAAAAGACGTACATGTATAGGACCTTTTATTCTAATTCAGATGTTGCATTGTATTGTTAGAAAAAGCCTGTCATCCCTCATTGTTCATTCTTGTGGACAACCATTGATTATCCACCTGGTCAGTTGCATCAACTTTGATCAATTATTTAGTTTCATCCTTCTTTTGTTGCTATCGCAGCTCAACACCCATTTCCTCTAAGAAATCCCAGCCTAGGCTCGATGGTTGGTTGAGCAAGATAGATACTCTGCCCACCAGCACTCGAAGCCCAAGGAAGAAGTCCGCTCTTCAGAGGTCAGAGGTGAAAGGTCAGGTTGCTGATACCTTGACCCCTGATTCCACCAATGTGTCGCCTCCAAAAGGTTTGTATCTATACTGCTTTTTGTAAAGTGATACGTCATATCTGAACAGGTCTTTCTTTATTAAGTCTTCACCTGCTTTAATAGACAAATGGAACATACAATGAGTGATTTCAATTTTTTAAGCTACCAGAAGTTGACGATATTCAGAGGTCAAAGCCTTAACACCAGCTGATTTCCATTTCGGTGTTTAGGGCTGGTGTTCGTGTTTATTTAACACTAACACCAGCCCTAAACACCCAACTTGAAATCACTCAATGGAATGCTACAGTCAACTTTTGGCACATGTTCAACATGTACGAACATGACATTCCAAACAATGTGCGAGTCTGAGATTTCAATTCGTAGTGAATAATGAATTAAGGTCTCGGACACCAAAAGCATGCACACCAAAAACTACCCCAAAGCCTTCACCCAAAATGTGGTGGTTAAACATTTTAGAAGTATGAAGAAACCACTAAGGATATTCTAATTGGTTCAAACTTTGTAAAGCCCCATGAAACTGTATAATATTACTAAAGAAGGATATGTGAAATGAAGTTATTGTACATTTGTTTAGCTATTTATTTTATCTGATTATTTATTTATTTATTCATTCATTTTAAAAAAAAATCATCTTATCAATTAAATTTGAAAAAGGTCAATTATTTTTTAATTTTGATATATTTCTTTGTTTCTATCTTACCCACTTTATCCTGAACCTACAGTGTCACCCAACAAGCCTACCAAGCTTTACTCCGTCTTCACCCCGCCAAGAAGCCCCCATCTCAACACCACGCCCAAGTCCAGGAAGAAGCAAAGCAACGCGGGCAAGCTGAAATCACCCAATGTCCAAGAAAGGTCACCGTTGATCAAGTCACTGAAGAGCAAGACGGATAACCTGGAGCAGACTACTCTGGTGAGCCTCCTTGATATTTTCTTTAAAGGGATCGTTTAACAATGTTGTATCTGAGATGCACAAGCCCTACGTGTTATCAGTGTTATATTGAAGCCCTAAAAAAATTGTGGTTCAAAATATCATGAAGTGCCTCAAAAAAGTTGAAATCTTTGATTGACCGGTTTTACCATACTCATTTTCCCCAATAGACTGTAGTGTTATAAAAACCGTTAGGAAAACAAATTTTTAAATTTTGATTTCCAGTCATTAATATCTTGATAATCAGACAGGCGATCGGCTTGTAAAAGTCATGGGGTTCCTGACAGCATGATCTAAATCCAGGATTCTGTTTCAGAATCTGAGACGGTAAATTACGCAACCTGCTGGACCATTTTCACTGCCGCACATCCTGAAAGTAAAACAGATTAGTTCAAAAATAATATTAGTTCAAATAATGCTGACGAATTTTGTCTTCATCTTCAGAATTCTATTTATAAAAAATAGCGATTTGATGAATCATAAAAACCCTGCGCTTTATCATTCCACATCTTGTAAAAACTCAACATTCTCTGTAAATTCATTCCTCTTCTCAGGACCTCGGACAGAAGCGGTACGGTGCGGTGACCTGCGCGACCTGTGGGACTGTTTACACTGCTGCGCACCCAGAGGATGAAACAGATCATGCCAGGTTTCACAAAAAATATCTCAGCAGTATTAAATTCCCTGTAAGTCCTCTTCGTTGCTTTTTACATTTGCATGATTCATGTAATGATAAGTTTAAAGGGAGATCCAACCTTGATAGCAAATTTCTCTAGAAGGAAGCAGAATAAAATCAGAGAAGCATACTGGGGAAAGTTTGAATGAAACCGAACAAAATGTTAGAAAGTTACGAATTTTTGAAAGTTGCAATCACTTTAGGTAAGTCCTCTTATTTTCATAAATTTCACATTCTTAGTTGTTTATGATGGAATAGATTTTCTCAAGGGAAAAAATATAGATTTTTAAAGATTTTTTTAGAAAAGGGCAGTAAATGGTTTTACCATCTACTGTAAGACTAGAAACCTTTGCCAGTCTGGACTCATAGAAAAAATTCGCAAAAGTTTCGTGCACATGAAATTTTTACAATGAGATGTGAGATTCTGTATTTTAATTAAAACAAGCATGGAAAATCATGCTTACAAACATGGAAAGTTTGTATGTTATTGCAGATAAAATGAGATGACTCCAAGTCGCCCAAATTTGTTGAGGATCACAGTGTGTGTTTTTCAATGCCTCAACCAGGGCCCTGCTGCATAAAAAATGATGGTAACTTTGCAATTAATCATGACTTCCTTGGAAACCTTGATTCGATTGGCTGCTGAGTGATGTTGCCATGGTAGTTAATATTGATTGCAAATTTACCATCAGTGGTGAGTTTTATGCTGACTGGGTTTCTATCCTTTCTCAGTTTTTTACATAGCATCAATTGATAATCCTGTGATGGGTTTATCAGAAGTAATATATCATGACTTATGGCACGTCTGATACTATTTTCTAGTCATAATTTTGATCAGAGAGGTAGAGGTGTCGTGGTCGAGTGGATATGTCATTGGATTGTCGAACACAATGTTTGGCAAGATGTTGATCTACATTTGCCACACTCAACGCAGGTAGTGTAAATGTTACCTGGCAGAAATTCATTCCTTGAAATGCTAGAGCGCCGTAATGGCAGCCGCGCTAAAGCCAGGGTAATAATCGGGAGCGCCAGGGGTGTCAAGTCTGACGGACATGAGCGCCATACAAGAACCCACTATTACTAACATTATTAACATTTTTTTATCACTCTCTCCAAAACTTAAATTCTAAAACCGAAAATTCCTTATTTGGTTATTTCTCATCACAGGGTTGGAAGCAAGAGGAAGTTCTTGAATCATTTCACGACGGCAGGATCATCGTTATTACCCACGAAGCACCACACTATGCGGAGAAGAAGGTAGATGAGATCCGAGAGTTGGTGGACAGAGAGTTGGGATTCATGGAAGCCAGCCATACTGTTAGCAAGGATTTGTGCAAGGTACTTTCCTGGGGTGTAGCGTGTTGTCAATTTATAGCATTTACATCATTTTTCTAGCCAAATTCACCTTGTTAATTGAACTTAGAATGAAGGATTTTAAAGATTCCAAAATTAATTTAGTGTAACATAAAAATCAAAAGTTTCTGCAGATACATATGCTTTGATATAGGGAAAGCATTTACCCTATCAAAATCTAACATGAAATGGAAATTGATATTCAGATCTTTCTTAAAGGAAACCTAACCCCAAAGAATAAGTGTGGGTATTCTGAAAAATGAGATGTATTCCTGCCCTTTGATGTACAGTATTCCTTACGAAAATGTACAGGAGATATATAAATGAAGATATTCCTGGCATGATGTCATGCCTTTTAGCATGACATGGGCGCGCCATTTTCTTGAAAATGTGACGTACCAGTTGAAGTTGTACATGTATCATGCACCAAGCTTTAATTGGAAATAATTTTTAAATAAATAACGAAACCTTTACTTTTCAATGAGGACAAATCATAACTGAGAAGATAGAAATTACATTTGGTGAAAAATAAATAACAGGGGAACAAATGTAACCCAATTCATTTATAAATACTACACTATAGTAGTTGACAAATCTATTTCATTTATGAGAAACCTTCAACCCTGAACAGCACCAACTTATTTATGCAATTTGCGTTCCGGCAATTGTAGTACAAAGGAATAAAACAGGTTAATGAAATGCTTCACCATCACACAGGCCTGGGAAGGAAACATCCATAAATTTAAATACATTTACTTGATAAACGACTTCGCATAGTACGTCACGTTATCAAGAAAATGGCGATGCCCATGTCGTGCTGAGAAAACTACATTATTCTTGCTTTATACCTCTCTCATACATTTTGGTGGAGAATCTTGTAGACTAATGGGCAATAATATAATAGATCTCTCAGAATAAGTAAAGTCATTTCGTGGGGTTCAGTTTCCTTTAATATGGTAATAATGATACATACTGTACATGAATATTTAACTTAATACATTTACGATAATATCGTATGACGTCATCAGCCTCTCCCGTCATCATCCCATTTTTTTGTGCTACATGTATGTTATTAAAAAAAACTCTCTAGTAAGCAAAAAGGCAAATAATAAAAAAAAAACATAATACATGTGAACGAGCCTATTGACATACATGCTCCCTTTTGCTACCTTATTTCAGTTTTACTAATTTTTATTTGCCATTTGTGAAAAATTGGGAATTCATTAATTAATTCATTAAAAAAAGTACCCCGAGTATGTTACAATTTATTTCAAAAATATTTGTCCTCTGCTTAGGTCTTGTTAAATGGATTTATTCTTTCTGCCATATGGAGTCTGATTTGTATACCTTGTTCTTACTAATTACTGGACCCCCAAATCTTTTGTGTTGATATTCTACACAATGTACACATTCTCAGGCTAGTTAACCTGAGGGTATTATCTGTATTTAATTCAGCTTGTTTTCAACTTCGAAAGTTGCTGTTTATTTGCACTGTTATTGCACTGGATCAAGATTGAATTAAAAAAAACAGAATACTAAAGCTTTTCCATCTTGCCCTTATCAGAATAAATCGTAAGAATGAACGGAAAGCCAAAATCAGACTTTACAAGCGGAAGCTAAAAGAACAAGCATGCAAAAATTAATTTAGATTAATAAGGCAAAAACTGTTTGCATAGATGGTAAAACTAAACATTCTTAAGAGCATTAATTTGTAATTGTTCTACTTTTATTCTTCAGACCTACCTCTTCATCACGCTGGATAAGAAAGTTGGAGGCTGTCTGATAGCTGAACAGATAACACAGGTAAGTTAAAGCCCCACTGCACTACACGGTACCTGTTGGTCCCCCATGATCCCCTTTTTCTTATGTTAAAGGTATTACAAAGTTTTGGTATGGGGTCATGAATTTGGTTTAAATGAACATATTGGAAGCATATGCGTTCCTACAATATCCATTGATCGTTGTCGCGGTTTAAATCGAGTCTAAAGTTATGAATTTATAGATAATAAACTCTTTATGTTGTATAGCCCCCTCTCAAGGTCAAGATATTAATTTAGCTATGAAACAATGTTTCTTAATTAAAATCGACCTATTAGCTATTCTCGTTTGGAAATTGTATATCACAACTACATATTCTGAGATTTGCATGGTCGCAGCTACCATTGTACGGCCATAGGCGCTATCTGAAATTTATCAAGATTTACCGGGAGCACCAGTAAATATTTATATTCAATTTTTCTCGAAAACAGAAGTGTTTTTGGGGCTATTTTTTTTTAGTGCTTATAATACATCCACAGGGGCATCCAAATATATAAAATTGTAAAGATTCACTTTCCACCCAATTTTCAAAATTTCCCAAAACTTTGTATTACCTTTAATTGAGACCTGATTTGATGAGATAACCACCTGTCAGTGACCACGCAGGGGGGGGGGGGGGGTCTAATTCCTCCTTGCTAAACTAGTGCAGATATGCTTTAAGATGTTGACAACCAATTATCTTGAGAGACAATAGTTTTGCACCTATAAACTCCTTAACGTTAATGGGAAATGATAGTCAGTTTCCATGTGTGGTAGGTTTGGAAAATAAAAAACTGGTCAGATCACACTACGTGACCATGCATCATTCTCTTCTACTACACCTGCGGAGCATAAAAGTTCCCATCAAAATGTGATAACCCACGGATAACAAAGTGATCATGCAAGGCTAGGATGCGCATATACGTAGCTCTGGCACATTCAAAATTATGATGCAATAAAATGTACTAGGTTTAAAATGGCAAGGACATTGATGGGAACAGCGAGACGTGCACTATGCTGTTTGGTTGCGCTTATGCACTGTGATGTCATTCAAAGCAAATGATGACCCCCTTTACTGCGACTTTTGGCATATCAACTTTATATGTATAATATAGACCTGTCTGATAAAAGAAATGATTCATGATTTGAAGCTCCTGCATTAGTGACATGCACATGGTTAAGTCACAGTTAGCTGGATAATGAACTCGACAAGTCATGTTCGTTATCTGATTGTGACTACATGAGTGCAGTGCATATTCACTAATGCCCTCGCAAACATGAATTATTTATTCAGATGATGTTGATGGTGGTGGAGGTGATGATGATGACTATAATCATTTAAAAAGACACAAGTTCTGTCTTCTTCAGCACTTTGGTAAAAAGAAGACATGAATTCATCTCCTTTCTGTTTTTCCTAACAGGGTTACAGAGTAATCGTTGATGAGCAGAAAGCAGAAGGGAATGATTCTCAGAAGGCTTGGTGTTGCGAGACCGAGTCGGAGCCCGCCCTCTGTGGCATAAGCCGTATATGGGTACCCATGGCAACCAGGAGAAAGCAGATTGCTTCCAGGATGGTAGATTGTTTGAGGTAAGAGGAGGCTGTGAGTGATTCTGTGAATTGAAGAGGTGGGGGTGTTCCACAAAGCCTTTTTTCAATGACAAATGAAAAAAATCAGTGAAAAATCTGCTGATAACCAATCAGAAGCAAGGATTTCACTGGCTTATAACAAAAACTGTCATTTGTCACCGATGTTAAGTTTGTGAAACACCCCCAGGGCCAAATTCTTGAAAGGGGTCTATTCTATCACATGTTTTCAACCTCAATAAGCGTTGTATATTTGTGTCTTTGTGTCAATGGACATTTACAGCGGGGGCTTCAAATCACGGTTTAGACTGTCTTTAGATTGAACCTTCTTTGTGACTTTGGGGTCTAGGACTGGTGATCTTGAAAGGGTGCTAATATGATAGATTTTTATCTTGTAACGTCCAGGGGGGTGTTTCACAAAACTTGTGATCAGTGACAAATGAAAGTTTCCTTATAAGCTAATGAAATCCTTGCTTCTAATTGGTTATCAGCAGATTTGTCACTGATATTTGTCATTTGTCATCAAAAAAAGGCTTTGTGAAACAGGTTCCAGGTCCAGGTTTGAAGATGGAATTTCAGTCTGTGCAGGATATTGACATTGTAATAGCAATACTGCCATATTGTACATGTCAAGACATACAAGTTCCTACTATTTTACCAGATAATCTGGTTCCCAAAAGGAATAATAATGTGCCCTTTATACTGACAATTTCTAACACTTTTGAACTGCACCTCACCCAAATTCTTTAATTCTTTGTGCAGGAAAAACTTCATGTTTGGAACAGTGCTGTCTCCTGACGATGTGGCCTTCTCGGATCCGACCCCCGATGGCAAGAGCTTTGCCACCAAGTACACTGGAACACCAAGATTCCTGGTCTATAAGTATCACTGACTCTCAACGTACTGCTGTTCTAACCGGTGTCGAAAGAGACCATTCCGACATCAAGATTTTGTTCGGTTAGGTACAGTGGAACATCACAATTCCTTGTCTACAAGTAACACCTACGTGTCTGCATTAGAGTTCAGAGAATGACCAAATGCTGCAGATAGAAGTGTTTAGAAAACAAAATTTTCTGCGATTGCAAATAGTGGACAAAATTCCTATCGGAACACTTGAAAAGTGTGAAAGTAAATCTTTGTGATACACTGTTGTCGGATACTGTAACAACTTTCACTATTTTACATCAACATTCAAAGCTCCGGCACGAATGAATCCGATGTGTACATGTATGTACGGGTAAAGTTGACTATAAAGTGCTGTAGACATCTGTATTAACCACTTTATGAAAAAATTACTCTGGTACTTCAACAACTTCAAGAACATTTCGTCATCGATATTATGAACCGACGAATCCCTACAGTAATATATATGATGGATTAGTTGGTTCATAATATAGATGACAATTTTATCACAAGTCGGCCTCTGTCAACTAACTCTATTCCTCTGATATCAGTGGATCTTCTCTGTAATGTCAGATTTGTTAATTTGCCATTAGCTTTACCTAATTGCTGAGAAGTATATCCCAAAGTATTAGCCCCTAGGGAACCCTTTCTCAACAATCATTCCACAGTTATCAGTTGAATGCATGGACAATGACCAGAATTGTGTATAATGCATTTCTATCAAACAAGCCAAGTTACCTTCATGTTTTATCTCGATCTTAGCCAATGAGTGTTAGCCATGTCTATACTATGGGGTAGTTTCATGACTCCAAAATATTCTATGCGGTAAATTTAATTTCCACATACAGGAATTGATTGATTTCATCTTACAAAAATGATAGTCACTTTTTTTAGCTTTAGCTTCGATCATTGAGAAAGTCACAGGAAGATAAGGAGAAATTTCTTCAACATTACCTATAAATTTTCATTGAGGAATGGTTGAGCACTTTTCAAGATGTTGCCAGCCAATAGACAAATTTATGTATGTTTCTTTCTTCGGGACCTAGTGATGAGTTATTCTATTGACCTGTTATTAATGAATGAACTGCAATACATGTACTTGGAATCCAGTCTGCATGTGTTGCTATGCTGGATAAGCCTCAGGCAAACTTTCAGATGGTCAAGAGCAACCTTTGTTTAATAAGTATGCAAACAATTTGAATATGTAAGTAAACTGGTATATTCTTGTGCTTTTTGTTGGTAGACACCCTATATTTCATGTTTCAGAGTGTATCTTTATACTCTAAAATACTTTGGCGAGGGACAGAAGAATCCAAATGTCTAGCTGAGATCAAAAGTATTTCATACATGTATTATAATCTGTCTATGAGAGCATAATTGTTGCTACTGTAACCTTTTCTTTAGAAATCAACATGTTACACTCATGTGAACTTTGGCATTAGTAATGCAAGCTTAAATGCGAGCTTCAAATTTGTATATGTAAACATATATATCTTGTGCCTTTTATATGTTACTCTTTTGCTATATCCTGCACCAAATTTTTCATATATTATGTCATTTACAAAGCGTTTTTTAAATGTATTCTACATTCTGCATTATTATTAAGAATAATCAGCTTTAATATACATGTTGTATATATATAGCAATGATCTCTCCCCCTTCCATTGTAATGTTGGATAATGATAATAATATGTCTTGTTTACCCAGGGTAGCCTCATCAGTATTCATACTGTTCTCCCTGAGGGCCCTGCAATCATATTATTACCCCGGTCATCGGATTCAGACGTACCCGCACACAATGTATGCACATTCTCCACTCCCTGGGGAGCATTCCAGCCAGGCGTCATTTTTACAAGCAAGGAGTTCAAACCAAATTCATTGTATTGCTACTATTTATTGTGTATGTAATCGGTCATTACCGACATGTTCTTTAATTCTTTATGTCTAGGGACCTAAATGTTAACATCACCATCCAAAGAAATGACTGTTTGCCAGTTTCGAACTGTTTTGACAGTGACGGTCAGTAGATACAATGAGCCAACTTTACCTCTAGACCAAATTACATCTCCCCCTACCTGTTGTTGTTGTTTTAACTGCTAGTATCATTCAATAGACCATGTTGGTAATGTAATCAAATTGAATGCACTAATCTTTGATAAGTGCCTCGTTACAAATTATTTCATGAGCCTGTTTGGAATAATTGTATTTCAATAGTCAGAATGCGAATTGCGTATATTAATTGTTACTAGGTAGGACAAACATGAAGGCTTGTCCTACCTAATAACATGTAATGTATGCAGTTTGCATACATTACTTCCCCTCCCCCCCCCCCCTTTTCTCACTATTTGATTGCAATGCCACTTGCTTTTTCTTGCTTCCTATTGTCCAATTGCCCGCAAAGAATAAGGCCTGGATTAAAGAAACAATAAACGTGTAGTTCACCAGTATCAGTTCAGCACTGTACAATTCATGTCATGTATTAATGAAAACAATTTTGCAGTTGATTATGATGTCTAAGATTGAAATCTTTATGATTTTGTTTCCATAGAGAGAGAGTTCGTCATGAATTTTTGACGGAATAAAGTTTTTAGATTTGCATCTTTTATTCCATTTGATTTCAAGGACAATGGATTATTTTGTCGTGATTTAAAGTGTACATCTTTTTCTAATTCTACTTGTATCCGGTTTACAGATTTTAAAGTTGAATTTCGTGTGTTGTAAGACTGGGCATGGAATAACAATAATAGTGGGTTCTCGTTTATCAGACTTGTTACTCTGAGCACTCCTCAGTTGTGACCCCGGCTTTAGCATGGCTGCCAATATGACGCTCTAGCATTTCAAGGGATTAATTCCTGCCAGGTACCCATTAACCTCACCTGGGTCGAGAGTGGCGAATGTAGATTAATCTCTTGCTCAAGGGCGATGGCTGGACTCTGACGGTGATTCATGTGATCGACAGTCCGGTGACGTATCCAGGTATAGCCGGCGGCAAATCGGGGGCCAAATCGGGGGCCAAATTCCTGAGAAAATGTTTAGAGGTGAGTCAACCAGCCGGAGAATAAGCAGGGGGGGGGGGGGGGGGGAGCACTATAATATTTTCTTTTTCTTCCCAATTCGTGAGAAAATATTTAGCGCCGCATCAACACCCACTCGCCCACCCCCATCCCCCTTGCGCCAGGAGGAGGGGCCCGTCTTCTTTTTCATTTCAAGTTAAAAAAGGTTAAATTTACATGTTTGGGGCCAGGGGAGGCCCCCCCCCCCTAGATCCGCCACTGAGACCACGACACCTCCAAATGGACCTACATGTGCTAATACAAGTTCATTAAGATCCATGGTAATCTGTATAAAACCAGGTTTAGAGAATCCAGAATTATGCTTGTGGGCGTGAAAGAGGGAAAATAAAGATAAAGTTCGGAGAGAGGGAGAGAGGGAGAGAGAGAGGCATTAAGTCTTAAAACTCCTTGCTCGTGAGGTTGAACCGCGAGGCGCCATCCGGTCATTCACCTGTATATTTCAGGACAGATATTTTAAAAGTCAACGGCAGAAGAAGAAAACAATGTCATAAATGACTGGTGTTACCACTGACGCATTTACATTATGATGCTTTAATCGGCTTTAATGGTTGAGGTAATATACAACGCTTCGAACTGACATCTTAAAGGTAAAGGTAAGGACCGGTAACGGTAAAATTGTGGTTCAAGGGTTTTGGGTGCAAAATATCCATTCAATATTGTTTGAATATTGTCTTCAGAGGTTTAGATGGCAATACTTCAACCTAAATTCGTAAAAAAGCAGAAATTTATGCCCAAATGTTCAATGTCGAGTGTATTCCCGATATATCGAGGCTGGATCGATATGATAATTTACCAAATATATCAATTAGTAGGCGGTTTCCCGGCAAAATTTGTGTTATCACATATTAGCCAAAACATATTCTTTCACATAATTGGTAATAAGAGCTTCCATTTCACTTTTTTAGAGGGGGACGTTTCCAAAACTGGTCTATACCTTTAATTTAAGCAATAACATATTATGATGAAAAATAAGAAATCGGAAGAAAATACAAAGAGGTGCGCTTGTTACACAATGTAATTATAAAAATGCCATTTCCTCTGTTTTTTAACAGGCAATAGAATATATATATATATAGGCCTATACAGTGTGAGTCAAAAAAAAGTTTACACCTAGAAAATTGCTAATTATTTAAAAAATAATCATCGATGAACATTAACTGTTATATGTCTTATGAAAGAGTGTTTTATCCCGAATAATTTGGTACCATTTTTGTGTGGTATGTGTTCACGCTCGGATGAACAGGAGACATTGTTTGCGAGAGTGCAAAAATCGACTTGCGCCAAAGTTGCCTATGTGATGTTTGAATAAAACAATTGGGATTTGGGTATTAATTCGGTCTTTGCAGATCCAAATAACAACCCTAACAAAATTAATCATGCCACACATGACACATAAAATATCAACGAACATTTGTGCGCATGTGTGTGGGTGTGTGACTTTGCCCTTTGCAAAAAAAATATGCAATGCATTTCATTTGATACATTCAATCCATTCTCTCACTCCGCTAATCCCAACATAATACATACTGAAGGCATCACTTTGGCGCAAGTCGATTTTTGCACTCTCACAAACAATGCCACCTGTTCATCCAAGCGTGAACATATACCACACAAAAATGGTACCAAATGATTCGGGATAGAACACTCTTTCATAATATGTATAATAATTTACTGTTCATAGATGATTTTAAAAATAATTAGCAATTTTCTAGGTGTAAACTTTTTTTTGACTAACACGGTATATAATAAATGCAGTCAACAACTAAATTATTTATAGGCCTACTCCGTGTAAACTTGAGCGAGCACTATTTTTTTTTTTTGCTCCCCCCCCCCCCCAAAAAAAAGTGAAAATCGCGCCGGCCGAAAATTCGCTCAGTGGGGGGTGGGGGGGGGGGGGGGGGTAGTGAGCACTATTTTTTTTTTGGCCCTCGAAAATTTGAAAAATTGCATCCCCACCTTGAGCGCCAGAGGGGGGGGGGGGGGGGGCGGGCCCCCTGGGCCTCCTCCCCTGGATCCGCCACTGGGTTCATCGATGCGCAACCCCCGAAAAAAACACGACAAATCGAGGCCACAATGCTTCGCTACGGCGACAGGGCACAACGATCATTATTTTTTTTAAATAATTTTACTACACTGCTTACAAGAGACAAGATATCATTGTTGGGCATTTGGCTCCTGATAAAATGAAAAATCAAGTGATAAATATTGGTATCACACATAATATCACTACCAGGTGAGGAAGAAGAAAGAAAAGGAAAAAATAATCAAAGGAGGAAAAGACAAACAGAAATAACAATTTTTTCTTCAGTATTTGAATACCCAGCACTTAATGTCGAAAAGATGTTAATTTGACAGTTGTTTAAATACTTACATGTTGCGCATGAGTTTAGAATGTCGTCTTACACAAGAGCGAAACATATGCTGCTCAAATGATAAAATGTCCAGTGTACATTCTTTGTTTTGGGTTAACGTGAAATTTTATTGCAAAACTCATAGAAGTCATAGAACTTGAGACATCACTACTATACGTAAACTGTTCGAACTCTTGAATGCGTTTCGTGGGTCAGTTCATGATCATTATTCAGGCTCATGATAGTTCCTTTTATATAGGCTAATAATAAGTCTTTTTACCCAGGGTAGCTTCGTCAGCATTAACACTGTTCTCCCTGAGGGCCGCCGCCATGCAATCATATTATTACCCCGGCTTTAACTTGAGATATCCATGCAATGTGTATTTGTATTAGTCTGCTGCTTTTTTTAAACTACACACGCTGCGGAGCTCACATATGAAAATAATCTTTGTCATTTCATTGTTTAAAACTAATAATAATAATGATAATGATAGTGGGTTCTTGTATAGCGCTCATATCTGTCAAATTTGAAATTCATGGCGCTTGTCTTTTTGTGTGTGTATTTCACAGCATATTAATATATAACGTCCACTATCGTCTTGCTCTACGTTTATGAGTTTGAAATCGAGGGAAGTCTTGATTTAAATAAGTACCCGTCTGCTTTACTGTGATTAAATCCGTTATTTAAACATAAAAAAGGAGCTTTACACCAACCTTTTCAAAGAGATTAGCCATAGACAGGAGAGAGAGAAAATAGAATTTCTTGAAAAACAAGTCGAACATTTAGAACGTCTTATAATGTTATTCAAGGAGAAACGGAAGATGTTAAACATTTGAAAAAGGCAAAACAGAACTCGCAGACAGTTATGAATATGTAGGGATTAAATACGATCCCGAGCGTCGTGGTACGAAAGTGGGGAAAGAGACACAAAATACTTTAGTCAGCTGTTGCATACAAATAAAAATGAAATATTAATAAAAGATTAGTCAATGTGAAGGGACAAATTATTGACAAGGGAAAGGAAATTTTTAACCCCCCAAAAGACACTTTATACCAATCTTGTCTATAGGGAAGATATGAAACAAACAACTGTGTCTGTGAGGGACTTTTTCAAAGATCCAACAGCATTGACAAAGGAAAGTATGAGCAATGGTTAGGGTGAGATATTTGAAGGGGAATTTTTTGCCGATCTGAAAGAAATGAAACAAAATAAATGATGAGCTAACCGGTTAAATTTTACAATACATTTCGGTCAAACATAGAAGATGTACTGATAGAAGACTTCAATGAAGCCAATGTTCCGGGGGAGCTATCGGCATTACAGAAACAGTCTATTATTATCTTAATACATAGCTAAAGAAGGGAAAGATCCAGCTATAAACAAATTGTTTATAAATAATAATGATACAAAATGTACAAAAAAGATTATAGGTCAATATCCTTATTAAATATCGGCTATTAGATTATTCCTAAAGTATAAATAAAGTATGTTCACGTGTCTATCTCATTGGACTTTTGCAGATAACTTTGTCATAATTTGATATCAATTTATTATAAGTTTGGAAGGCTATGAGGGATTTTTAGATGAAATATGAATAATATAAGGAAAATGAAATAATTTTTCATAACAAGTTTCATACGAGTCAAAGCGAAGTGCATATTTTACAAAACCTATTTGATAAATATATATATATATATATATATATATATATATATATATATATATATATACAGATATAAATTAAAACAACAAAAAATGTTAAAAGTGGAAACTTAAGATCTTTTGGGATCGAATGTAGATGACTTTTCGTATTTTTTCATAACAAGTTTCATACGACTAAAAGGGAAGTGCATATTTTACAAAACCTATTTGATAAATAAACATATATATATATATATATAGACATAAATTAAACGATATATAATGATATATAGGTAATGAATGTAGCACCATTTTAGTTTAATTCCAATAAAAGCATATACACATACAAATTATAAAAAAAGCACAGATGCAAATCATCATACGTGGAATCAAGGGTACCTTAAAAGACTAAGGCGGTCTTGTCGAGATGGCCGCCTTCCAAGAAAAAATTATTATCATTTTCTAGCTTGAGCTTGCCTTTCTCTACGGAGCCCGGGAAGGGACATGTGAAAAATATTTTTTATCTCATTAAAACGAGATAATATGTCATTTTAATAAGATAATTTTCTCATTAAAACGACATATTTATCTCATTAAAACGAGATATATCTCATTAAAACGAGATAATTCTGAATTGGCGAATTTGTGCACCATAGGCCTATACCAAGATATATAGCTGATAGCTACGACTTCGATTTTGCAAATCCACAAGGTCATATGGCGCTGACGTATATACGTGGGGAAAGGTAAGTGCCATGTCAGTATGTGATCCTTTTGCTGCCGATTAAAACACTAAGCTTTATCAATAAGACCTTTTTACTGGCTGAATTTGTCTCAATCAAAATTGTACTTGAGTCTTGACAGTTGACATCAGGCGCGTAGCCAGGGAGCGGTCGCCCCCCCCCCCAAACGCCGGCCATAAAAAGAGAGAGAGAAGAGAAAAAAGTAAAAGGAAGTAGGAAGAAAAAGGAGCAGATAAAGAAACATTTTTTAAAATTCAGACATTATTAAGAGTCGAGAACGGTACAACGAATAGTCTTCTTTCTCTAATAATTTAATGAAACGTTAAAGCTCCGCGCTTCTCGCGTGAGGGGGAAACTGAATTAAGACAGGGATTAAGAATAGAGAACGGTACAACGAACTATGTCTTTTTTCTCTAATAATTTAATGAAACGTCGAAGCTTCCGCGGTTCGAGCGGGAGGGGGAACTGAATTCAAACATGGACTAAGAGTGCGCCTTGGATACATACCCTGTCCCCCACTCCGGGGTCGGAGGGACCGCATGCGTGCTCCCAAAATGTCCGGTAAAGGGGTACTTTTCATGCACCAAAGTCCGGCTCGTAATACACAAAAATCCGACCCGTATTGACTTTACACACTGGACTTAGGGGGGTGTTTTCAAAAGGAGGGAACATGCATATAACACTGAGTGGGGGGGGGGGGGGGCGGGGATACATCCAACTAGAGTAGTAACAGACTTTATAACAAGTGTGTCAACCGTCAAGACTCAATTACATTTGATTGAGACAAATTCAGGCAGTGAAAAGGTCTGATTATTATTAATAAAGCTTAATCGGCAGCAAAACGATCACATTGCACTTATCAGCGCCATGACCAAAATAATGTGCAAAGTCGAAGTCGTAGCTAGTTATAGCTGCTTGGTATGATACGCGTACGGTGCACAAATTCGCCAATTCGTTTTAATGAGATAATTATTTCATTATAATGAGATATGTCGTTTTAATGAGATATTTAGCTTATTATAATGAGATATTATCTCGTTTTAATGAGATAAAAAATATTTTTCCCATGTCCCTTCCCGGGCTCCGTATTTCTCTCTAATCGTGGGACACATCAATCTGTTAATTTTATTCACTGTATTTTTACATTCATTTATTTATTTTCATTTTGCCCTTGTGCCCTGTGCTCGTCTTGTCTCTAGTTATACACTTGAAACATCACATTCCTTCATACTCTATTGATGATTATACAGAATTAGTCAACCAACTTATACTAAGACTTAATTCAGTTGTAAGAGAGGCTTACCTTTACAATTCACGCTTTTTAATAAGCTTCTCATTTTCAAATGTCACATAGAAATAGTTTTACCTTCAATAGTGTTCAAACTGTCAATTTTTTTAAAATTGCAACGATTATAATATTGTTTCCAGATGTAATATCCTCCATAATGTTGTATTGTTTATTTTTTTGTATACATTCAAGCATGTGAAATGAATAAAATTCATTTCGAATTCAAATATATGAATTTTCCAAGATAGATTTTCATCAATAGGCTTACCCTCCAAGTTTTGTAAAATTTACAAGTTTTATAATTTTCCCACTGACTTTCAGGATTAAATTATCAATTGGAGTTTTGGATGAGTTTGATGGTTTACTATGAAAAATAAATACACAATTTGACTTCTCGGCATTGAAACACGGTCTATTACTTCTTAACCAGCATGACACCTTTTCCTAACTCATTATTCCTAAGATTCGTTATTCCGAAAATTTTTTATTTTCCGTTCTATAGCATTTTCGGAACTATCAACCTTTGGAATAACGAACTCTTATGTTTGGAAAAATTAACCATACTTCATTTTCAGAATTGAATCATCGTATAAACAAACTTCGGAATTATGCAGCAAATATCCGGGATTTCGAACCATAGCTATTTTATTTTCAGAAATACGAACCGGAGGGGAAACAAACTTTCAGGAAAACGACTAATAGAAGCCAATCTATCCGTCATTAGAACTGATGGGGTATCAAAACACGATTGCAGCAAAGGTTACCGAAAAATCTACTCATTTGTACTCGAGAAATTTCAAAACCATACAAAAAAAATAAAGTAAATAAATCACGATCGTAAAACGTCATCGTAATAGTTGCACAATAAGGCTATTTTGAAACCTCCCTAGGATTATTTTTCGAAAGTCTTAGCTATCGTGCCCAATATGCTTCGAGCATGGTCACATCTATAATATGATGGCGTGGATCCTAATCAAATGATTGGTTGAAAGCGTACACGTGACCAGCCATTTATTTTGCCTAACGCGTAATTTGTAAAGTGACCGGTCATTATCCTATTCTAATGACCGGTCACTAGTAAAATCATGTTATAAAACATCATTTTATAAAACAAATAAAACAAAATCTTATAAACAAATAATACACATCATTTTGTTCGTGCATTGGTAAAATTACCCACACCCGGTACCTTAAAAACAGTTCAAACACCCTTTATTTGTATACTATTCCATAGAACAGACAATTATTTCTGGAATTATTGGATGCACCTCCCCCCCCCCCCCAAAGGCACCCTACCTGTAAAAGGTAAAAGCATTTGTTCGCGAATGATGGAGCTATATAAATATGCAGGTAGCTAAATTGAGTAACTAGATGTAAGGGCACAATGAAAGTCCATGTAAATCATCATCATTAGAACCACAATCCAGACCTAACATATCCCCCCTAAAAATATTCTCATCTGATTTTCTTTGAATTCTTTAATCGTAAGTGGCAAAACGTGCACACAGTCCGTTCCAAATTCTCAAGATAAATTTTGTAATGGCTTCACGGATATCCTTCAGTCTATACATGTAGATGTAAGGGTTCATGGCGGAGCTACTCCAGAGAAAGAGACAGACTGTCCTGTAGATCAGGTAGTGGGGCTCGAAGTCGGCTCGGTAGAGCATTTCGACGATGAGGAGGGGTATGAAGAAGATGATGTAGAAGAGGAAAGTGATAAAGACAGTTTGTACGAGGTTGATTAGATGGCGGTTCCGCGCGTTGATTCGGTTGACCGGCGGGACGGTCTCGTCGTTGGACGCTCCGGCGACTCGCTTGTTAGAGACACGCACTATGTTGACAATCTTGACGTAGCAGATGAGCGATATCAGCCAGGACAGGGCTGTGATTGAGAAGACAGCGACGGCGAATCTGAGCGTCTCGTCACTCCCGTTGACGTAGCAAACACCGAGGCGAGGTTGGAAGGTGAAACCATGGATAAAGAAGAGCGGTATCAACGAAACGGAGATGAAAACCAACCAACCCGTAATGGTCATGGTGACGACGAGAATTTGGTTCCACGTAGCGCTTTCTCTCTTGGACATGATGCCACAGAGACCGTTGACTGAGATGAGGGCACTAAAGAGACACGAAGTCAGTGATGATGCGATGCCGTAGGTCAGCATCCCACGACAGACTGTAAAGCTCGGCCAGGGTATGGTCGTGTAGAAGGTGATGATTGAATAAGGACCGTTAAGGGCACACGTTAAGAAATCTAGAAGGGCAAGACTAAAAAGAAGCGCATTGGCTCGCTTGTGAAGACGCTTCTTTGTTGCAATTGCAACAAGGACCAGTCCATTGGCAACGACACCCAGAAGAGTTAAGACGCCAGTTGTGACGGCGACAAATATATCCACTTCAGGAAATATTGTCTGGTTTGCGCCTATCACTCGCATCATAATGACTTCTTGAAGAGCACGACTTGTTGAATTTCTCGACTTCTTGAATTGAAATCAGATTGTCAGCGGATCGATGCAGTTGCTTGTCTTTTCGAAGTATCGCAGTAGTGATACGGAACCTCTGTATTACAATACTTTCTTCGCGATGGTGTACCTGCACTTTCCTTTTTAGCTAGACGTCGCATGTGAATATATTGATATATGTATACAAAACAGCATTGATGTTCACAGATCACAGCTTTACTTGCTTTTATGTTCCGATTCGCGGTTCAATCGGCGGGGCGTGGGATGACGACGAATAACGAGGCATGATGAAGGATGACGACGAATAACGAGGCATGATGAAGGATGACGATGGGTGACGAAGGGTGAAGACGTTTCGGCCTTTGGAAACCTGAGGTGAAAAAAGGAAGCATATAGTGATATAAATATAGATAGGTTAATGATATATATTTATTTTGAAAACGAGTATTATTTTTTTTAACTTTTCTGTATAAATGTTATAAACGATGTAAATATGTTCATGTTTTTCAGGGCCCCATGGAAGGCCACTAATTATTGGTAAATGGGCTACTCTGTCAAAAGATTAGAAATAAATTAAATATATTTTAAATTTTTTTTAACAAAAAAAATCATCGATTCGGGCAGAAAACATAACAAAGAAAAATAACAGAGACATACAACTGTATTCTTGAACTGTAGGTGACTTCTAAAGTAATGATAATATAACCTTAAGATTAAGAAGATATCATGATCACCTTAAGAAGGAGGCATTTCCAGTAACAGTATGACAGGCCCATGCAAACTTTACCAACAGCTGAAAAATAATAATGCCATTGTCAGGTTATACCAGCAGTCCCTTAGGAGTTAACGATTTTCAATTTTTATATTTACACATTTGTTTCATATTTAGTTTTGATTTTTAATTAAGATATAATATGTTTTCCCTTAAAATACCATGTCGTTGCCGTAGCAACGAAAATGTTTTAGCCTAATATAACGCTCAATAACCAAAAATTGCGATGTCAAACTTTTAACATGAAATGGATAAAGAACATAACAGGAAATGGATAACATTCATATCATGAAATGGATAAAGCTAAGTTCTATATTCTCTCATGTTTTTCATCATTAGAAATGTGTTTTTTTTTCTGAAATTACAGGCGTTACCATGACAACCGCCATATTCGAGCATAACCATGACATGAGAAGACTGAGATTTTTTTTGATAAAATATACTGGGTGGCTGGAAACAATAGCCTTTTACGTTAATATATGTGTTTGTTGTTTGACGATTAAAATATATGTCATATTAAAGAAAAAAAATTACCAGTGCAGCGGCCAAAGACGTCATTGGAAAAATCGCAACAGGTTGATTCGTGTTCAGCACTCCTTGGCTAGGGAAAATAGCACATAAAATCAGATTCTATAGAAAAATGTATGTACTCCTAATTAAATTGTGACGAGGAGCCGTGTACTTATTACTTAAGTAATAAATAATTCAGAATAATTCCCCGCCACTCCACCGTATGTTCTTCACTTGCAGAATTATGGGTTTATTGACAGGATTGAGTTCTGGAAAAGGTGGAAGATGATTTATGAGCTTTTCTCATTTTTATGTCAGGTTTATACTACATCTGTACAGGATTTAAAGATAAAGTTGAGTTCTGGTCATGCGATTGCTTTGTGAAAGAAAAGGTGTGAAATGGATCAGAAAACGTTGATCATGTAGCATGGAAGTATTGATGTGTATACTGCAAGGTTCTGGAGTCATCAAAATCATAATAAATTTGGCCCAGTCTTGGAAAAGTATCAAGCACTGAACACAGAAAGATGTATATGGACTTCACAAATGGTGTCAGGCCAACTGGCCTTGATTTCCTTATCAGTCTTTCTATGCTCATTACTCAGTCAGTCAGTATTTTCTACAAAAATTGTTTCGCAAATGACGTTTATTTGTAATCTTGAACATTCAGTGTAAGTTTCGTTTGATTCTGTGAGAATTCATTTTCTTTTTTTTACCAGAACTCAAGTTTATCTTTAACCCTCAGATATATTCACTTTTATCCGGAACAACGGGTAGAGGTGAAAAGTTTCGACCAAACTGTGACATGTTTGATTCCATTATGTATGCGTGTAGTCCCATCTGCACATTTCAGTGTGCAGTGTATCAAACATCTAACAAAGATATAATCAAATTTTACCAATAAACTGTATATACCAAAAAAAAAATATTATCTACATCTATTCATAGATATATATTTTTAATTGTAATAATTTTTAAGATAAGGTGACTCGTAGTGTTCATTAAAGGGACATTATAGAATGACTATTACTTCTCTACTATTTTGTAATACTACTACTACTACTTCTACCACACAACGGGTGTAGACAAACTCATATGAAGTTCGATCAGTCGAAAGTAGACAAACTTCGTATCCCATTAGGCGAAATTGGATTAGACGAGCGAAATATTAGACTAATTGGCATTGGACCAAATGATAGTAGACCGCAATCGGTCAAGCAATAACGTTTTGTTCTGCCAATCAATAAGTAGGTATATGCCTACACTACAGCCAACCTCTCGAGCAGGGGTTTTCGTTACTATTTCGCCGTACCAATTGTTATTAAAACAATCTGTTATTTTTATTGAAACCTTCCAAATTCATAACTACCTTCATATGCAATAAAGAAATATTCCTAAATTTTGTTAAGCATTTCCAAGGTGTACTGATGCGGATATTAATCATCATAGTTTGATTTTGTTGTTCTTAGAAGTTGTTAGAATGGATAAGCATTGCACATGGTAAATGATATTTCATTATTAGCCCTTCCTATATGAATATCTAACACCATGCACTTGAGTTTGACGTTATTTCATTTGGGAAATTAAAGCGGGGAGAACTAACAAGAATTGAGAGTAAAACGGAGTTGTTTAGGAGTTCATAGTAGAAAATTCTGATCATCCTTTCCCGATGCTGGGTCGTATAAAACGTGATAAAAGAAGTTCTCTAAATTCAATTTTATATCCACATATTCTCTCTATATTCTCTTTATATGTACATCTCTTCTTTCCAAATTCTCTCAATCATTTATTACCACGTATTATTATTTTTAAAATACGTGTCTTTCATTTAAAAATTCTCTCCCTTTATTATCTTCTTACAATTTGTTACTCTTTACTTCTTCCATTCAAATCCATTTACCTTTTTATATCTCTATGTCTTAAAAATCTCTTACTTTATTATCTTCTCACATTCTCTCACTCTTTTGTCTTCCTCTCTTTTAAACAATCTCACTCCCTTACATTTAACAATTCCCTCCCTTTATCACCTTCGATTATTCTTGCAATCTTTATCCGAGTCTTCCTTTCAAATTAAATCACTTTATCATACATCTCTTTCATGACAAATTTCTTTCATTTTAAATCAATATCTTCTCACATTCTCTCACTCTTTATCTCTTCCTTTCGAGTTCTCTCACTAAATTATACATCTCTTTCATTACAACTTCTCTCAATTTCTCTCAAATTTCTCTCAATCTCCACTCTGTCTTACAGTACGTGCTGTGTATCTCTCTTCTTCTTACTCAAACAAAAACAGTTGACAGGATAGCAATTGAAACTAATTATTGCACGTCAAACAAACATTTAATCACTAGTGCTATTATTTCAATCACTTTAGAGAATGAATCATCCTGTAATATGGCAACTCCCATCGTATCAAGTTTGCATATTTACATCGGCTTTACTTACAATAAGTATAATGATTAACTTGTAAAATAATAGTTATATTCACAATAATAGTAATAATAATGATAATGATAATAATAATAATAACAGCAATACTGATACAATAAATATTATTATCAAAATGTTAGGCACCCATCAATTTGATTCTTGTTTTTTAAATATCTTTTAACTTGCTCTTTAAAAAAACTTCAGGCAGTTCTGAAAATGCAAAAGCACTGTTCATTACAATTGCAGACCCATTCACTAACTAAAGTATGCCCTTTTAAGTTTTAACCTTACCATTAACAATATTTCCACGATGCATTATTTTGTGATAAAGATGGTATTAATCTTGCCTTCATTATTAATAAAGCTCTATCATATAATCTTCTCATTCGCTTTTAAAATATGTGTTTCTTCCAGGTCATGATCGGTCATGTTCACGTTTGATACTTTGATACTATAGGTTTTACTCTTTCACACAAATCCGGCAAAAGTGGATGTTAACATGGCATTTCAAAACGATGTTGCTCAGTGAAGCGTGTATAGATTAATGTAATCAATGTATCATTGGAAAGCATATTACTTCTACTCTATGGAAGCAAGGAATCTTATTATACACCTCATAGATATTCACAAGATCTATTTGTTTTCGATTTTCATTTTTTCTGGGACGCAGTGTATAGTTAAAATTTATTTTTGTGTAAGTAAGTATATGTATACAGGTTTGTATATTTGTATTATAGACCCTATAAATACTATAGTACACAAAATGCACTTTATGTTGTAATCAAATATTTTTGACGTTTCATCATTGCATGAAGCACTATATATTATTATACAATGAAGTTTGAACAAAGTTTCTTGGCAATAAAAGTAAGATTCTATAAAACACAAAAAGAACAAACCGCCACTAGCTATTTCTAATCATCAATATAATTATTTCTAAACTTATTGAAGTAAAGGTGTAACGTGCTCCGTCTTTTAAACATTATGAATCAACACCTTTAACAATGGTTTCAGTGCTCTTCGTGTGAAAATTAGTTGATGGAACGGCAAAAACCACAAACTCGAACATTCCTAAAGCTCCGATAGACTTATACAAACAATGACAAAATAACGAAAATCCGATTTGTTTTCTTCTTTCTGGTGGGGGTGTGGGGGGGGGGGGGTATTCCCCTGCCCCCAACCAATCCCCATTTAGGTGTTCAGATGCAATCAGTGGTGCAACCAGGTGGTATGAAAAATTGAAATAAACAAATCCAATTTT